GGTCGGCGCGTGTCACAATATGGGTGTGTGCCTCAGGATGGACCATATCAGTGGTTTGGGGCTCTAACTAATAGGGTGCAGGCGCGCAGTCAGTGTCGTTCCTGCATCCGTTTCCTTGTATCTAGCTGTTAATATTCCATCCCGATTAGTTTAACGCACTTCGCTTTTTAACACCCGTTGTGTAATCCACTTGAATTCCAGCTCATTTTCTCACTATTGTCATTTACTGTCAGCATGGTGACGCGAGTCGTGGTAACTGGATCCGCCGAACTTCAGTGAGCGTATCTTCGCTGTTTAACTTAGCTGGACAAACACAGATCAGTTATGGCGTGACCCCATCACAATTTCTATGCGTTGCTGGCTTGAAGTTGCAGGTAACAGCTCACTGAAAAACAGTAATAAACAACTACGGTCGAAGAAAACCTGTGACGATTTTTCGTCAAGCTAAACGAATTGAGCTCATAATCCGTAAATTCCTATAGCTTTTGAGGAAAGTCTGTGAAATCAAGCAAAACTCCGATGAGGAGGATACTGAGACCGAATTCGCCTGATTCATCCGGCAGAAGTGGTTCAGGGGGAAAGTAATTGGTAGGCAGATGGAGTTTAATGAGTACATCAAAGCCATGTGGTGCGTTACAGGAGTTACAAACCCGGGCGAGAGGCTGCACGTGTTGTGTAAACATGAGTCAAAAAACTATTGTAGAAGCGTTGAGAGGAAAGGATAAGACAATTAGAAATGGTAACCAACTGCTTGAAAAAGTTAAAAAGGCACCTGATCGTCCGAATCCGATAACCTCCGCAATTGGAGTAGATACATGTTCACACATTGCAGCAATTTCCGGAGGTGGCGGCCAAGCTTGAAGAACTACAGCGCCAGCACCCTCTGATATAACAAACCCAGCGTGCAGTTCATCGAAAGGGCGAGAGGCTTCAGTCGGATTGTCATTAAACTTGGAACACAAGGCTCGGATGCGACAAAAGGCACCCACAATCAACGGTTCCACAGTCGCCTCACAGGCACCGGCCAGCATGAAGTCCGCCTCACCATTCTGAACTGCAAAAAAGCGATACGTGAAAGGACGACAGACTCAAGAGAATTAGGCTAACAGCATGAAACAAAGTGTGTGTGAATGTCAGTGTGAGGGTCTCACTTATACGATAAGCGTCTCCAATGGAATGGAGTCCCGTTGCACAAGCAGTGCCTAAGGACAGACAGGGACCACGTAAACCCCACAAGCGGCTGATTGCTCCGGCTGGCATGTTTGTCAGGATGCGGGTGAGCGCGTACGGACCGATGTCTTTATATCGGCGTGCCCGAACACCTTCACCAGTACGGACGATCTCGTGCACACCCTCCAAACCAATACCGATATGCACACCTGTTGAGAAAACAAAAGGTAAAATGCGACTAGGGGCCCGGAACTGAGGCAGAACGTTTAGTTCAGTTCAGTTTGACAACTATGATCTACGCAACAAAGTGGAGTGGACCCGGTTTCCTTACCTCACATCGCGGATAGCGAAAGAAGAAAAGCATCGGATGTACGCTGCACCGATGCTACGCGATAACCACCAAACGCGTGCAGACTAGGATTACTGTGAAATCGCACGCGCCCACGACGTCATAGCGAAAAAGTATTAACAAGCCAAGAAAATTGGTAGAAAAATAAAAAAATAAACCAACTCATTAATGCTAAGGAGCATCACTGGCCCAGTGACGGCGACATCCACATTAAGGTGGCCAACCAACCATGTGGCCGGTGCATCAACGATAGCCTCTCAGCTCTTCTGTGAATTTCTTCATACGCTTTTGCCACAGCATTGCCTGGTCACCTCGGGGTTACACTCAATCAGGCACAGAATCGACAAACAATGCACGCCAAGTTAACTGGTTAGCACGCATACGGAGAGATTGGCCGAGCTGTCGAAAGCGATTCTAACTCAACAGGCAGATAAAAGACGCGTCGGGAGGTTTGCCGCTAAACTGCAAACAGTGAACTTCAGTACTACTCATTCGGTTCTCTCATTAGATATCAGTAATATATGGCAGCTATCAGTGACCATTGGTGAGTAGTAGGGGTCTGCCGTCCTTACCCATGGTTCAGTGGCATAAGTCACTGGCACATAAAAAAAGAAAGAAAGGCATTTGCAGTACACCGGTACGCAGTACCGACGCTTCGCTGCCGCGCAACCACTACCAGTCGCACGTGGGCTAAGGATACTGCGTGGGTTGACCTGCTACTACGCAGGCTCGGATACGCGCCGCCAGATTACAAAACCAGCTTGTTACCTTTAGGCTAGGGGCCGGTTGGCTCGTAAGAGTATTCGTGGGTTCGAATCCGGTAGGATTTGGCCGGTGGGCGGTATGAACTAGTCCCAATAAGACGAAATGGCCGTCTAACGCATTCCTGGATGCGTGGAGGCTGTCTGGCGGAGTCTAGCTGCGATGAATCTTCATAAAAAGCGGTGATGGCATACGGCCAATTCCCTAGTTACTTTACAGGGCAGTGGCCAGGGCCAAAATCAGCAGTTACACCGATTGCACCGAAATGTTGTGCTAGCTTACTATAACCGATATGTCTAGATCTCGCGTTTCCGTAAGTGAAGAAGGCTAGAAAAGACAAGTACGCCTTAGCAATATGTAATACACAGAAAAACGATCAGATGCTATGTCAAAAGAGTTAAAAACAAGAAATAAAACGAAAAATTAGGAAACGTTTCCATCATAGTTATCACCTGATATGGACAAATCTGCGAAAGCAACTTTCACAAAACACCGAGGCCGCATTTTGGGTACAAGTCGCAACAATTTGCAGGCACTTGAATCGGCTCTGATGATAAGATCGTCAGCTACTGACGCTAATGCGGTAGGCCTGGTAAATCTTCCATATTGCAGTGGTAAGTGCAAAAAGCAACTAAGTGTGGGAGACATTAAGAGAACGATCGAGTTTGTCAACCGAGGCGTCGGGGGATTTATTATTGCTAGTGGGAGAACTCAGTGAGCAATGCTGACACCCGCCATTTGACATTTGGTACTACTACGGGATGCTACACTGCATAAGCTATCGGAACCCGACACCTTCACAGGTCAATACACCTTAGCTTGAGGTCGATGCGTACCGAAGTCCCGGAGATAAAACGGAGTTCGTGGTATCAGTAAGTACAGGCCGCTTTCGACAGGGCGCAGTTGAAAGGTGAAACAGGACCAAGTTCATGCCCATCGTCATCAAGATTAGAAGATGACGAACGATTTTACAGGCTTTTAGTTCTCGTTTCATTACTCCCTATTTATCACACAAATATTATTGTAAAGGGAAACCGGATAAAACCAACCGGGTCCAGAGTATACTAGAGTTCGCATCATATTTGAATAATAGAGCTTAATTATGGTTATACATCTACTCAACAGATTACAACTAGTGCCAAATGCATACACTAGACGGTCCAAAAGAATTGCCATTTTAGACGACGGATTGAAGTCGTTAAATACTAATAAGTAAATCACCAGCTGTACGCCGTAACGGCGCTTCGCTGACACGCGGCCACCACCAGTCGCGCGTGGGCTGAGTACACCGCGAGGACGCCCGCCCCTACGCGGATTCGAACCGGTGACCTTATGGTTGCAAACCAGACCCGCATGCCACTCGGCAAACAGCCGACATTGTTAGGGATTGGGTGTTAGCAGAGAACGAAATGCCAGCCCAAATGGTTGATTCATGTGAGAAAACAAAGAAAGGGATCAGCAGTATTCCGGTGCTCAGTACCGATGCTTCGCTGCCGCGCAACCACAACCAGTTGCATGTGGGCTAAGGATCCTGCGAGAGTCGACCTGTCCATACAAAGTCGCGAACCCGCACCGTCAGATTACAAAGCAAGCTTGTTACCTTTAGGCTACGGGCCGGCGTTGTTTAATGTAAAAAAATGCTGAATGGAAATAGAGCTAGATAGAATGCGCAGTGGCTGCGCCAACCGAAGAAACCAAATGTTGCATGTGACTGCGTTCAGAGACAAGTAAGAAGCAGATAAACAAGCACTAAGCAAATTAGATACTCGATTCACTTTTCGAACTCCCGGAACCGCCGACAAAAATCCTCTACTGAGAGAAAGGAAAGGCATCAACAGTACTCTGGTATGCCGTGCTGATACTTTGCAGCCCCGTTACACTTATCAATCAAGCGTAGGCTAAAAATACTACAAGGAAGTCCGCACCTAGACAGATTCAAACCTGTGGGTTACAAGACAGAAACCTTACATCAATCGGCCACCAGGTCATCGTAAGATAGCTCTGGGCACATGCTAAGTTGTAGTGGCACCCGAGAAACGAATCAATCAAGACGTTGTGCTGTGAGATGGCGTGGAGGCACTGTATCAGCCAGATTACACGGCTTCAATGGCATGATGGACAGTGCGAGGTTAGGTCCCTCGTTAGTAACTACACGGCAATCACATTGAAAATAACGGTTTAAGGGAAATCAGTAATGACTCTATGTCTATTCGTAAAATGCTGTAAATATGCAAAAATGCAAGTGTAGAAATGATACATATATGGCCTACGATAAGGATAAAAGTTAACAAAAAATAACGAAGGACAAGTACCTGCGCGGTTGCTTACGGCACGTAAACGAGGATCAAAACAGGGCTTCCAACCAGCTTGTACGAGTGCCTGCTTAGCAGCGCAAATAGCGAATGCGTTCGCACGAGAGAGGCCCCGCCAGTCTACACTGGACTGATGTTCGTTGAGGTATGACTGCGTCTCGGCCATTGCAACAGATAGTTCATTTTCCGGAATAATTCCAGCAACTCGGGAAGGTAAGAACGAAAACTCTTCTATAACCGGTTAACATGTATGACATTTCAGACACAAGAAATACCAGACGTATGGGTAATCCCAGTGACTCCGTTGAGTAACCCCTGCCAAAACCGCTCCACAGTAAGTCCGATAGGTGAACAGACTCCCAATCCCGTAATGACCACTCTTCGAGCTGATGGCATGACTCAGCTAAAATGGAAGTATGTATGTATGTAACCTCAGCAACTTAGCAATTAGACACAGAAGTATCAAGTGAATGCATGCCTTCGATCGATTTCAGTTTCAAAGTATTATGATAAAATTGTAAGTTTCCAAGAACCATGTCAATAAAGACGTACAGGTTGGACATTTAGATAATTCCGTTTTGAAGGTTGTATCATCAACCAGATGGTTGTTATCATCAAAGTGACAAGAGGTGATACGCCACCAGACAGCAAAACTACAATCTAGAACAGAGAATTAACAGCCACACAGATGATCTAACATCAAAAAAGGAAAAAAATGGGAAAAATGCAATCGATTCAGTGGATAAACTAATGCCAACCGCCAACGAGCCAGACAGCATTCGAGATCGTACCAGCTAAGGAGACCTAATGGGTAAGCGATCAGCAAGCACTAGTAAAACCTCACTCTCTCATTCTACACAGTAGCTGGGGACGAGAAACACTGGCTTTTCTGCCGCGGTACAATTCGATCAAAAAGAAGCAAAACGAAACGGTGCTAGACATATTTGCTGGGATATTATTCGTCAATACAATCCGAAGCTGTAGGTCAAGTGGGGACAACCAATACAAACAGTGTCCAACGGGCGAAGATGGTCGACGATCTGGAAGTACCGAAAATCCTTAGATTGAATGCGCAAGGCCCTAGTAATACAGAGAACAGGCATTTGCTCAGGTCTTGTGATGACTGCATTTAAACTGATGGGAGATCCACTCATGGTGCCCAAAGTGGCACAGATTCATAGAGGCCATTTATGAGCTCATGACATCAGAGTAACTCAAAGCAATCGGCGTTGTTAACGCAGGTGCCAAGATAGTTTAGTCAACCAACTAGATTCAGTCATTCCTAGTGAAAGATAAAGGACGAAAAACGGCTTTCTGTCAAACCACAACCGCTTTGTGACCGTCAGACATCAAGATGATTCTGTCCACCTGCTTCACATCAAACAAATTTTCCAGGACAGGACATAAACATCAACGTTATGACGCACTACAAAGCAGTACTCTGCTATAAAATTGTATGCTAGTAAGAAAATGGAACAATCCTAGCGAACACCATCTGTCTTCGGAAGCATGTCCAATAGTTCATTGCGGAGCCTGATGCAACCCGTGGTGGTGAATTATAGGTCAGTAAATATGTTTCCATAGTTCATGGTAACACCATTCCGAACTAACATATCAAACAGAAAGCATCATCATCATCAACAGCAGTAAATCATTCATTTGAAATGATGGTTCGCTACCGAACAACCACGATGACCTACGGAACGAAGAACAATAGGAAGAAAAGAAGGGAGACCTATGGTAAAATTTTAGTGAATTAAACCAACGTGCGGGGTCAAGGCGCCTACACTTTATCAACAACATACCAGCACAAACAGCTGGCTATCGTGCAAAGATTAGGCGGCAACGGTGAAACAGCTTCCTTGCGGCTTTCACAGCCCCGCATCATAATCAACTATTACCGCGACTACGAGACGACAACAGACACGCCACTGGTTTCGACTGCGAGCCATGTCCTGTAACGTTTCAAGCCAAGCACAAGGCGGGTCACGTGGACTCCAGTCTGGAAGGCGAGACGGACAGACAGCACCGAGTTGGGTCGTCGGTGACTTCATTTCCCGCTGCCAAGTCAACTGTCCACCTCTGGCATTGCGCCACGCTACATCCGGTAAACAAAACAAGGTCCTCCTCGGCAAGCAGTGACCAGGCATACGTAGTATGTTACTTATGAATGGAAGGATTTTGGTGAGTATTTTTGTTCGTCGCAATCAGCCGACAATTTAGCTATGTCGACCAGCTGTCCGGAAAAGCACCAGACGGCCGTTTCGCCCTATTGGGGCTCATCAGTGGTGCGCATCCTTCGGTCCTCTGCGGAGGATCGAACCCATGACTGCTAGTGGCTCTTGCCAACTAGCCCGCAGCTTATGCAACTGCGCCATGGAGGACGGTATCTGACTATCGTGAATTGTTAGCTGAATGCGATATAGCCCGACGCATCCTCCACTGCCATGCAGGCACCTGCCATGCAGATGACAGCGGTCGGCCTTCCGGCGTCAGGACTTCCCGGTTACGGCAGCTATGAATCGACATAGCATGTTGTGGAATCCGTACGGGCGAATTGGTATTACTTATGAATGGAAGGATTTTGGTGAGTATTTTTGTTCGTCGCAATCAGCCGACAATTTAGATATGTCGACCACCTGTCCGGAAAAGCACCAGACGGCCGTTCCGCCCTATTGGGGCTCACCAAAATCCTTCCATTCATAAGTAATACCAATTCGCCCGTACGGATTCCACAAAATGCTATGTCGATTCATAGCTGCCGTAACCGGGAAGTCCTGACGCCGGAAGGCCGACCGCTGTCATCTGCATGGCAGGTGCCTGCATGGCAGTGGAGGATGCGTCGGGCTATATCGCATTCAGCTAACAATTCACGATAGTCAGATACCGTCCTCCATGGCGCAGTTGCATAAGCTGCGGGCTAGTTGGCAAGAGCCACTAGCAGTCATGGGTTCGATCCTCCGCAGAGGACCGAAGGATGCGCACCACTGATGAGCCCCAATAGGGCGAAACGGCCGTCTGGTGCTTTTCCGGACAGCTGGTCGACATATCTAAATTGTCGGCTGATTGCGACGAACAAAAATACTCACCAAAATCCTTCCATTCATAAGTAATACCAAATCGCCCGTACGGATTCCACAAAATGCTATGTCGATTCATAGCTGCCGTAACCGGGAAGTCCTGACGCCGGAAGGCCGACCGCTGTCATCTGCATGGCAGGTGCCTGCATGGCAGTGGAGGATGCGTCGGGCTATATCGCATTCAGCTAACAATTCACGATAGTCAGATACCGTCCTCCATGGCGCAGTTGCATAAGCTGCGGGCTAGTTGGCAAGAGCCACTAGCAGTCATGGGTTCGATCCTCCGCAGAGGACCGAAAGATGCGCACCACTGATGAGCCCCAATAGGGCGAAACGGCCGTCTGGTGCTTTTCCGGACAGCTGGTCGACATAGCTAAATTGTCGGCTGATTGCGACGAACAAAAATACGTAGTATGTGCCCAAGCCAACGCAACTTAATCAATGCTAGCTGTTGTTCTAAGGAATTAGCCAGGTTATCACTGCCTAGTACTTCTTACGCACATCATAGTTGGGGTCACGCTGATGCCATTCGACACCAGCAATGATTCACAGACAAGCATGATCAAAGACTTGAAGGTGCCAAAGGACCTCAGATCGGAGGGGCCAAGTCTCGATACCAAAGTGTGGCCTAGTAAAGACGGAGAGAAACTTCTTTCTGACACCATCGATGCCGCAGATTCAAAAAGGCAGTTCTAGCTTTCGTAATGAGTGAACTGAGTTCAGTCGTTATGTGCCTATCGTTACCGATGCAGCTTCTAAGGTAGGCGAAGTAATCAAGTATATTAAGTTCCTCACCATTAAAGGTCAATGGGTCATCAAGTGACTGGTGGTCCTGCAGCAACATTGTAGGTTGAAAGTGAGAAGCGTATGCCGAATGATGGGACTACTTCAGACAGGTTATTCTGGGTCGATTGCGGCGCACAAACATCGTTAAAAAGCAAAACAATATCGTCCGTATAATCAAGATCAACTAGCCCGTAACCTTTAACCTTTAATATAACTCTCATTTTATGGCAGAATAGCCGGCTGTTAGCTCTCCGGAACGATGTCCATCCGTTACTGGAGACTCAGCCGGCGTGCCACTGTTGCACCTTTTTTTTCTTCTTGTCTTTAGTATTGCGGCACAATAGCTGAGGTGTTTTCCACCTGCAGCTAACGGGTATAATGATGATGAGCCCGTAGCCTAGAGATAACGAGCTTGTCTCATAATCTTGCGGCGCGGGTTCGAATCAGCGCAGGTGTGGGCGTTCTCACGGTATACTCCGCGCGCGCGACTGAGGAGTACTGTCAATGAGTTCGAGAGTACAGATGAGGTTCTCCGGTTGCCCATGATAGAGGGGTTCCGTTGTGTTTTATATCTCCAGACTTTGACCCAATAGTTTGCACCACAAGCAACGACTGCAGCATATCAGTCACTTGAACTGATACTTCGCTGCCAAATATCATGATGACCTTTGGAATGAAGAATAATAAGAGGAATGGTAGGTTGACTTACCAAAATATCTTAATGCCCTAAGCAAACATTCAGAGTCAAGGCGCCTACACTTTGTGTATACAACACCGTCACAAACAGCTGGCTATCGTGCAAAGATAAGGCGGCATCAGCGAGAAAGCTTCCTTACGGCTTTTACTGCCACGTGTCATACTCAGCCATTACCCCGCAGATAACTCAGCACCAAGCACACTTTAAACAGGCAGTTTGATTAGGAGACAAGAGCAGACGCGCCACTGGTGTCGGCTGCGAGCCATGTCCAGCCAAGCACAAAGTGGGTCACGTGGTATGTATTTAACACTTGTCCAATAAACATTTGACACAGTGCCCCAACACATGAGTAACAATAATAAAAAGGAGAGAGTGAGTCAGAGGTATGGAAGCAATGTTCCATGTGTTGTGTGGGCAATGAGCTCCCCGGTTGCCCAGGCCGAAGAACTGGGTTGACTTAAGGGACCCCAACCCGAGCCTTTGATTTGAAGACCAGACCAGCAAGGCAGCGGGTCCCGTGGACTCCAGTTCGGATAGCGAGACAGACCGGCGGCAGCCAGTTTGGTCGTCAGTGACCTCATTTCAAGCCGTCCGTAGCCTAGAGGTAACGAGCCTGTCTGGTAATCTCGCAGCGCTAGTTCCAGCCTGCGTAGGAGCAGGGCGACCATTGTAGTATCCAAGCCCACGTGCGACTGGTGGTGGTTGCGCAGCAGCGAAGCGTTGGTACTGCGTACCGGTGTACTGCCGATGCCTTTTTCACTTTAATATTTGTTCAACTCGAGTCTTGAGATACCCTACACCCGGCAGACTAAGCAAAGCCCTCCTGGGTAAGCGGTGACC